CAGACTGAACTGACCTTTAACCCCTGACTGAAGACCCCCAGAGCCCCTGAAGGGCTGGGGTCTCAGAGACTGAACTGACCTTTAACCCCTGACTGGGCCCCTGAAGGGCTGGGCCGAGCCAGGTGCTGTCCAGTTGCCCAGGGGCTGGAGAAGGACGGTCTCACCACACAGTTAACAGACACTCACTGTCACGTCTTTGAAAACAACAAAAAAAGAGTTTGCATTGCATTGCCTTACAACAGCTCCAGGAGCAGGTTCAGCGCCAGTCCGGACCCGCCGTCACTGCATTGCTACCAAGTGACTTGCATTTTCAAAAAAACATTCAAGTGCTCGGAGTTCGGTACTGACAATAGGAGTTACTGGCACCAGAGACACGGGCTGGATTTGGAACGACACCGAAATGACCGCCAGAGTAAACCCCCCGAGCCTGGTGGTCTGGAGTCCTGCAGTCCGCCCTGAGCTCACTCCCTCTGCGTGCCCGACGGTGATGAAGCAGACCCATCATCATCATCCTCCTTCCGTACCGAGAGACCACAGAGACACCCCCCACAGAGTGGACTGGGGCCCCCAGCAGAGCTGGGAATTAAGAGGACTGGAGACTGATGGCCAGACTGGACTTCCAGCAGCAGTGAGGCTGGGGGGTTGGCTCTTCGGCAATGTCTGCGTCTCGAACAGGGGCGAGCCTGTTTAAATATGACACTTTTATACAACATAACCTACAAGTACCCTGCTGTCCACAGACACACACAGGACAGGACCCACTTCATTGAGCACACGGACAGGATTGTAGACACTGTCACCAGGACTGGACCAGATCATACAGTAACCCCCCAGTCCAGAGATCGCCGGTCCAGTCTGGGTCACACTGTACCCCTACAGTCCAGAGATCACCGGTCCAGTCTGGGTCACACTGTACCCCTACAGTCCAGAGATCACCGGTCCAGTCTGGGTCAGTCTGTACCCCTACAGTCCAGAGATCACCGGTCCAGTCTGGGTCAGTCTGTACCCCTACAGTCCAAAGATCACCGGTCCAGTCTGGGTCACACTGTACCCCTACAGTCCAGAGATCACCGGTCCAATCTGGGTCACACTGTA